ACTGTAAATAAAAAGAAGAAAAGAACAAGAAGAATGGAAAAGGAGGAAAAGAAAAAGAAGCAAATCATGCTTTCTGTGATGATGACTTAGGTTTGCTGGTGGTGATCATGCGTGCCGTTAGCAATAACACTTTATGAAGGTACTAGAAATCTGTTAGACCTTTTAATAAAATCTTGAACATGTTTGAAAATTATGAGATTTTGTTCTAGTTTGCTTTCGTTTTCAATATCTGGAATCGTATTAATGAGATATTCTATTGTATCAAGATGATTTAAAAGATCTTATGTGTTTTGATATTTCGTAATTTTGATACAAATAAACAAAAGCTGTTGTTTCTTTCTTTTTTTATTGCGCATTAATATATTTTAATCTGTATCTAGGGCCAGAGTGGATCCAACATTTTTAGATTGCATTTGGTCACAACCCTAAAACGATGCCGAGCGGATTGAGGAGAAACAAACTTGTTTAGACAATAACAAAAAAGTCTTCCAATTTAAGGTCGTTATTGAATACTACAAGATCAACATCATGCTTCGCCACATGTAAACATAATGATTAAAAGGAGATTAAGGATAAACTTCAGTGAGGAAGCAGCCCCCAAAAATAACCAAACGACATGCGTGTCATTTGTCAGAATCATGTGATCACGAGTGCTTATTGATTTTTTATGTTGCTTTTGTCTATCTTATTAATTAATCAATTATTTAATTAACCAAGCAATCTATTAGTTAATTAATCAATTAAATGATTGATTAATTAATTAGTCATTTATCATAACTATCATTAATAAAAACACAGTAATGAAACAATGATATTTGTTCCAGAAATAACTGCCATTAATATGGTGTGTACCTTCAATTTATCTGGCCTCAGGACAATTTATTTAAAAAGATTGTCAAAGGTTTTGTTGGTCCATTCAAAGATTTCTTGTGCTAAAACCTGCTTTTGTTTGTTTCGTTATGTCCAAGCAATACACATTATCGCCATTTAGTCCAATCCGGAAAAAACAGTCGCGTAGACAACTTCCTGTTTGGGTCATCCGGCGCCAAAACAAAGGTCATCAGGATCCCGGAACGAGCTGTTGGAGGAAAACATTTAGAAAGCGAATACTTTGAAACTTTGAAAGATTATGATCCACTTTTTCAAAACTCAAATTAAAGTAAAAAAAATATTTTGTTTGAAGTTTTTACGATGGTTTAAACAGCTAGGTCTCTTTAAAAAGTATTATGCATTATACATTGTTTAAACAGGGCCCCAGATAGCCTCAACTGGATGAAAAAGTTGTGTAATTTCAGAACTTACCCGGAATGGAATAAAAAGCGACAAGGTGTATATAGCTCGACTAAAACATGTACAAACAGCTGTTTTATAGCTCATACCTTAACATTCTTTTTTCATTAATTCATAGAAATAATTTGGTAGAAGCAATAGTCCATACGCAATAATAAAATTCCAATGTATTGTATGTATATAGATTCTACCACTGCATCGAGTGTGATACGATATTTATCCACTCGAGACAGTTAAATTTTCAAATTTAAAACGCGAGGCTCGCCGAGCGTTTTAAATATTTAAAATTTAACTGTTGAGAGTGGATAAATATCGTATTACACGAGATTTGGAGGTGGAATCTGTTTCTCTAATGATTTTCAAATAATACGCAGGCAAATTTATTCCTTCTTTTCGAATGATCTGCAAAAAGATGTGTTCTTTCTATGTGACGTCATCAGGCATGGTCGCCTTTTTTCATGCCGTCACAATAGGAAATTCTGAGGAAAGCAAGAAAATTCGACGTCATAATCGAATTTTAACCAATGAAGAACTGTGTTCAAACGAACCACACGTTGATTAAATTTTTTTTATACAATGGGTGCAGAAAGGGGTAAATTGACGAAGAATTAGAGAAACATGTTAATAACTTCATCTACTTCTATTTCCTGTTTCTCCATAATTTAAACAAACGAACTTTGCACAAGAATAAGGAAATATTGGTTGACTCCAACAATTGATATATTATTTCTGTTTTATGAGATTTGTCATTGTAATGAATTCTCAACAAAAAAATATATTCTCACGAACAAATTTTATCAACACTTCAAAAATGCTGTGAAAAACCTAGATCTAAGAATAGGTTTTAAATTGTGGTAAATGTTCATTTTGTTCAATCTTATAAAAAAACATGTGTGTATATACTCCAAAATTCGATATATGCTATTTACGTCCTTTTTTTTTTTAAGAGTAATTAGTGTATGAAGCCGGGATGTTTACATTCCAAATGTAGAGAGCTTTGACATCTTGATGCAACTGAATGTCTTGAAGCCCTTATTATTGAGCTTTCGTATTATATTTTAAGTCACCTGGTACAAAAAGGCGAATTTGAGATTTTGCAGTCAATCAAATGTCATTCGTTGGTTGTCTGTCATCGTCGATCTTTAACTTTTACAAACATCTTATCTACAACTACCGTGCCAACTCGACCCAAACTTGGCCACAATCATCACTGATGCATCCTTCTTAAACAAATGTGATTGTCCGATGATTCCGTCTACCAGTAGGGCCGCAAATTCTAAATAATGAAACATACATGTAGGTGTTATACGTAACCAGTATATCCGTGAAAACCATTTAAGACGGAGAACATCTTGGAGAAAAAAATGTTTAGAATGTCATGTTCTAACTACTGTCTTAATTGTCATACGATTCTGTATAGCAGTTATTGCCTATGAATGAAGACTGTTTCAAGTTTTTATTATTTTATGTTGGGCTATTATGTTGTAAACTACAATAGATAGAGCAAATTTTAAAGTGCACAGTTAAATGATATGCAAATAAGATCTGCAAATACGTCAACTGACCTAAATCGGCATGTAACTATATCCCTCCTGAATAAGTCGGTTTAAAGGTTTGGCTAACCTTTGAGGTGAATGACGATATGTTTGTGTCTTGTTTAGATTATTATCATAAAAGATGAGATGTGAAATACCCAAACGTATAAGAAGTCTGCACGTTCATCTATATTAACGAATGACGTCCTTGTACCGATGATGAAATTTAGTGAATGTTTTGACAAGTTTGTGATATTGAAAACCCTGTTGTAATAATTTTTAGTAATACAGATATTTCTTTCGTTAAAATCAAATACGTTGTTACATTTACGTGCGTATCGAACAAGTTGAGTTATGTAAACACCATAAGATGGTGCCAAGGGAACGTCACCATCTAGAAATGGAAGGAAATGAAAAATCATCTCTTTTATCGTGAATTTTAGTATCAAGCTTCCAGTTGTAGATATAGATATCAAGATCCAGGAAAGGGCAGTGTTCATTGTTAGTATTAGCTTTATTCAAAGTCAGCTGAACAGGATACATCTCTTTAGTGTACATACTGAAGTCGTCATTATTGAGAGCCAACATATCATCCAAATATCTAAAAGTGTTATTACATTTTTGTATTAGATGTTGTTTCGATGGGTCTTTGCTGATTTTTGTCATAAATTGTAACTCATAACAATACAGAAACAGGTCCGCAATAAGTGGTACACAGTTAGTCCCCATTGGGAATTCCGATAACTTGACGATACAAGGATCTCCATAGCGAACAAAAATGTTATGTGGTAAAAATTAAAGGGCAGTTATCGCATCAAAGCAAGTCTTATTGACATAGTTCTTTTGTTGCTGTTACTAAAAATTGACCTAAAAGAGTTTCAACATATATTTTCGCATTTTGACTTTTTAAATGCCCATTTAATTAGGTATGTGATTTTTTTTTAATGAGATTATTACTATGTATTTGATAGACTTTATGCATATCGAACTACTATAAGATTGATTCAACTACTGATTGGTTGTTCCTAGGATTAATTAGTCTTTTGTTTCGAAAACCGTATTTGGCTCCCCTATTGGCAACTCTTAACACACCTGCTAATTTCTAAAAGCCTAAAAAAGTAAATCATTAATTTTTCATATCCACAAAATTCCCTTTCTTTAATATGTTTAATTGTTTTTTGGCTGGTTTGTTGGTATTAAACGCCATTTCCAGGTACCTTGCGTATATCACAGCGACATGTGTATTGAAAGAAACCGGACTACCCGGATAGACCATTAAACTTCGTGGCCCTCCCTGTCAATAAAAAATGAGGGCTGCCTCAATAAACTTTAAATGGGAGTCGAGCACACCTCGTAATCAGCACAGTTTAAACTCACAATCTCAGTATTATCATACCCAGTGGCAAATATATCATGAATATTCAGCATCAGAACACAAAATAAAAAAGTTACACCATTGGTAAGCCTGTAAGGTAAATCGACCAGGATGAAAGACGGAACATTTTGACTGTTACTAGAAAATGTAATTATAATTGACAGACGGATTTTAAAAAGGGGGACTCACCAAAAACAACGTTAGGGTGGGATTTGTTAAAAGTATATGCATTACATTTGTAACCATATATTTGACTACATAAGGGCGAGGGGTCGGCCCCCGGTTTCCCCTATATCCGCATCTGGATAGTGACAGCAACTTTGCCTTGTATCAGGCCACCTACGGACTCCTCACAGAGTTATAACAATAGTTTTTAACGTGCAGAGAGCATTCAACTCACCCTACACGAGACAACGTATTAAACGTCTCCAGTCCGATCGGACGTAACTACGAATATTTGCATTCCGTACAGCTAAACAGACGCCCCATTTTAGCAGGAGTTTATTGCCGGAACGGGATAACCATATCACTATACTTCAGTCACCATTGGGAATAATGTGTTATGTCGTGATGTTGATATTCATCACTGTATATGAACTGCTTATACCTTCCTTATTTGTTATACACTATGATCCTTAAAGATTTTAAACATATTTTTCATTTTGCATATCTATTCAAATTTAATCAAGTTTTTTTTTAATCTTAAAAGTATTCGAAACTTTTGCTTTCAGGAACTACTACCATTAAGCAATGTGTCCATATTTTTTCATATTTCAAAAAAGTAATTTTCTTCACAAACGTCAATGTCGCATTTTATTACAATAACATCAGTATCTTTGTTTAAGAATAAAAAATCATAATAACAGTATCATCGGAGTAGACATAACAACACAGACAAACAACCAGATATCGATAAAACAAAAATAAATAGTTAGACAGTTAAAAAATTATATAATATCTATTTAGAAAAAAAAAATCTACGAAGACCCTGAAATAGGACTTCTACAAGTTGTAAGTTGTTGTAAAGGTTCCAGAAATATTGTTTCGTGAATAACTGCTCCCTCAGTCAAGTTGTTCAAGCTCACATGCAAGATTTGGTAACAAAATAGAACACGAAAAGGTTGCAATACCTAAAAATAATAAATTAATTCCACAAAAAAGACAAACAAGACATTCAAATTCAAACAGCTTCCAAATTCCATCCTGCAAAACACAGTACACAAAAGAATCCATTTTTTCCAAGAACTATAACCGACTGGAACAAACTACCTGATAACATTTTAAATTGCACATCAGTAGACTCTTTCAAATCTTCAATTTTAAAGCATCAATATTAACTCAACTATTACATCAAACTAATTATACATTGCATTTCTCATTTTTCCTCTATTTTTAAATTTGTATATATATCAATATATGTCTTATTGTAAGTTTCCTCTTGTGACATAATCTTCAATTAGTTGAAGGCGGTCACTATACGGTAGAAGTAGAAGAAGTAGAAGTGGTAGCAATACCAGGCTTAACTATTATTTTTTTGTTTGGTCTTTTTCCTACAAAAACAAAATAATAATGCATAAAAAAAATATGCAAAATTTGCAATCCACTGAACATCGATGTACTTTTCTTAATTCTATTTTCCAAAACAGACCATTGAATTTTATCTCAAGTTGCTGACAATGTAGTAATATAAAGTGAGAACCTACCGTTTATTCGAATTACGTCCTATACGGGTGTCACAAGTGACAAGTGTGTTTAACAAAACATGTAAATAGAGAAAATGACGGCTCCGTGATTAAGTGATTTGACTTAATTCAACTACATGCGTATATCAATCTTTTTAGATTGTTAAAACCTAGCTTCGGTAATTTGCAATCAAAACGACTTGCAATCGATATGACGGTGTGTTGCTTAGTTGTGTTGCTTTGTTCATTTATAAAAAAAAAGTTTTTTTAAACTACATGTAACCCTGTGCGTTTTTCCGGTTACATAGACACACATAATGAAGAATACAAGACAGAGCAACATACAACACCAAACACAAACACCCGAATACTTCGAGAAGATACACGTATAAAAAAGACAAAAAACTGCGAACAAAAATACAGATTATCTGACTTGGTACAGGCACACAGTATACGGGGGTTAAACCAGGGATAGTAAATGAAAATAACAGTTAATAAATATGGTGCTTCCGAAGCGCTGTTCTTGATTTTTCTTTATCAGAAACGATTTAACTCAAAATTTTGAAAGCCAAGGATGTATATAAAAGCCTGAATATGTTTGAGGTTACAGTATATTTCCGAAAAGGGATTTTATAGTACCACTTTGTCAGAGAGAGTTGAAGCCTTATTTTTAAATACATTAACTCAGGTAGTGATACCCTCAGGGACTAACACTCCACCAGCAGCAGTATTCACCAAGTGCCGTTGTTCTATTAAAAAACTTACGCAATGTTATGGACCTCCAGGTTCGAAAAACAACACCGGTTTGCCTTCCCCTCCATCACATTTTCTTAGATCTTCTTGATGACACCAGAACGCTAAAGCTTTTTTTTTTTATCAATGATGAGCGAATGTATATCCTTGGTGTCTAAAATACATGTATACAATAACACACAGACATGATATGTGCACATGCAAATATGCTGAATTTCCCTTTTTGTAAGTTTCATTGTGTTACTTTTCGACTGTCTTTAGTCACAACCCTTGTCTTCCATATTTTCAGATTTGTTTCTTCTATTTTGATTAATAAATATATATATAGTGGTTATCACAACGTATGAAGCTTCACATGTTTGAAATTGTCCCATTACAGTTACATGTACTACGATCTTTTTTAATTGTATATGTTTGTGTCTTGGTGTATTTGCAATTCCATTGACATTTATCCGATTTCATTCATAAATTATTACATCACATCTTTGTTTCATAAGAATCCGTACTTTTTATTGGTAGAAAGAAATCGCGCAGGCATTCTAATATCAAGTTGTATTTCTCAAGAAAATTTCAACATTTTTGACTGCACGTGCTTTCAATGACAACTTGACTACTATACAAAGGAAAACAAACGGAAATCTTGATATAACTCTTAATTTCCGCGCTTCATACACAATTTGCTTCGGTCAACGCGTTTTCACCCCAATAGAATTTAAAAAAAAAATGAAGCATTCAATTCCTTAATGTTTGTAAATGTTTCAAGGTATACATGTACGTAAACGTATTATCAACCTTACTGTTACAGTAATTAATTAATTGGACCTATTGAAGAAATAGATAAGCAAGTGATTTGTAAATTATCTGTATACGACGAGGGTTTATTTTAACGACCTTGACTACCCATGAGGGTCTTGCACGGTCGTACGAAATTTACATAATAACAAAGCATGATCAATTATATTTTTAGGACTACTTAGTCGGACTTATCTACATAATATTCTGCTATCTATGAAACAAGTTTAAAAAATACCAATACTTGAGGGTCTGGATGGGGTTTACGGAATAGAGAATAACGGGACAAAACTACGGAAAAAAGGGCAAAAAATATAAAAATACAGAAAAATAGGCCAAAAGAATAAGGAATAACAAAAAAAACAACCCAAAAAAGTCTAAAGAAAAATGGAGTGTAAGAATATAGAATGGAGAATAACTGGCAAAAAAAAAAGAATAAAGAAATGAAGGAGTCCCCATCTAGATCCCCATCTAGATCCGTATACCTGTAAAAGGTAATAGTTGTTTTCAATTCTAGTTCATTTATATCTAATATTCAAATCAGAGAAAAACAGGGCAATCCAATCAACTAATTGAAGTAACAACGGTTGCATTGACATCAGTGGCGGATCCAGAACGTTTTGTAAGGGGGGCCCGCTGACTGACCTAAGGGGGGGGGGGGGGGGGGGGCGCTCCAGTCATGCTTCAGTGATTCCCTATATTCAACCAAATTTTTCCCACGAAAAGGGGGGGCAGGCCCCCAGCCACCCCCCCCCCTGGATCCGCCTATGAGCATGATAAGCGTATCCTGCTTTGCATGCCTCATTAGCCATGACAATCCGAATTCTGTCAACAATTAATATTATGGTAAATTGAACCCCCCCCCCCCCCCTCCCTAGCAGTAATACTTGATGAATGGATTAACCCTCAAATATCTGAAATTGGTGCATGCATCAAAAGATTCTATGATATTAAGTATTGATTTTCACTTTAACTTCACCCTTACAGCAAAATCTTCAATTTTTGTTTCAAAAAAATATACCGAAAATTGTGGCGATTTTCCAAATCGCGACATTCATCACCTTGACTGACCAAAATTTAAAATCTAACTCCAGCTAGGTGAATCATAAAATTTTAAAGACCTAGCTGGTTACCAAAGGAAGTATTAATTTAAGGCATTATAAAGTGATTACTCATATAAAGCTAAAATTATTTGAATGTACATGTATGTACTTACCTTCAATTTCGCTAAAACAAGTACTTAGAAAAAATACCATGTAAAATATTGAGAAAATCTTTATTCCGCTCATATCTTCATACTTTATTGTCCTTTCTTTTATGAATTCCTTTTTCTGTTCTGTTTAAAATGTCTGAAACATGGTTGCTGTTGGTTATGCTTGGAATAGGACCAATATTGTCAAATACTAGTTTACACACCAAACACTTTTTCTTTTCTTCGAAAATGATAAAAAGGGTATACGTGATACGTTGATTTTAAAATTATGTTTACTGTTGCTACTTTACAAAGCTAGTTACCACTGTGTAGCATCACCACCGGATATGTAGTTACCACCGAAGGAAAGAAGTAATGACAGCGAAAAGTATCTAGTATTCTACTCCCTGTACAGTACAAAACTATTCGCCGTACAATTTATCCGCTTTGATTACATGAATTTCTCTGTGAATACAATACTTTTTTTCGAAATAAAGTGTTATTCAAACGTAAATATGATATAAAATTGTTCTAGGAAAAAGGTCAAGTGAATAGTTGAAGGATACATGTGTTTTTGACAAGTTTAAATTCGTCACATGCTTCTCTGAACAGGTACCACCCATTCCGATACTGACGATTTAAAGAGATATAGCTAATTAAGGATCATAATAGCCCTAAATAGTAGCTATATTATTAGGAATCAGTATCACAAACTTTACCTGTCAGCAAAACGTAGAATATAATGAAAATAAGAAAAAGTTTACCTTACCTGACTTCACTTTTTTTTCCACCGCTTTGGGGGTACCTATATCCGGTTGGGGATGATTCACTGTGGTTACAAACATGTATATATTCATTTAACAGACAGAAAGAAAACCTTATTTTATTTTTAAATATTTTGAAAAAAAAAAAACATAAAATAGATCTCTTTAAACATGTAAAATGGAGAAAATGAATTATTAATCGTTAAAAGATACATACTGTTATGTTCCAATCTTCCCCATGGAACAGCTCATCATGCAATTAACTGTTTATACAATCCATCGATAAGTGTTCTACAAATAGCATTCTAACATCTATATTGATTTGTTGTATGAATAGAGCGACTGATTTCCTTGTTTATTTATTGAAGACCGCTGAAAACATGTCTGCCATATTGCATTTGTATAGTGTCATGTTACATTTTTTAGAAATTCAGTTATAGAATTTAATTTTCAGGAATACATATATTCATTATATATATCATTCAGTTATCCATTTAATGTCGAACATAACAGTCGGTGATCAAGAAGTTGTATGTTCGGTAAATGAACAATTGGCAGTACAGAGTACATCACCAAAGGCAAAAAATAGATAGATTACAGACAAGACGTAGTCCCTTCCCGCTTATTGATCTCTAAGTACCCTCTTTACTACATTTATAACATAATTATAGACCTAAATTTAAGTGACCTCGATTAAAACGACCATGTTTTACTTACTTACTTACATGTACAACTTGAATGTTATCATGAGTTGTCAGTAAACAACGCAAGGTATAATCAACATAGATTATACAAAAATAGAATGATGAGTTATAAAATTGAACCTTGAAAAATATTGAAAAAATAAGATTTTTTCTCTCAATGCATGCATAAGACAAAACATGAAAAGGGGATTTCCAGCCATATTTTCGGCGATTTTCAGTTGATTTAAATACAAATCGGAGAAAAAGTAAGAAAAATGTCTTCGGATCTACTCTAGTTTGGATCTGCAACTGCCGCGCACCTTTGTACCGTTTTCATTTCCAGCTCACCGCATCTAGTCACGCTTATGTTCAGTTAATGCGATTCTCCTAGTTTTTCGTTGTTACCCTGATTAATTTTGTAGCCTCTAAATCGATTTATGAGATATGAACATCTGTAAACCAATAATTGTTACCTGAATTGATCCTTTTCATTTGTCCTTTCTCCGATTTCATTTTGCACCAGGAATTTCTATAATTCCGCCAAATTATGATTTTATAGGGAAATTGATAAACGCATTCCAGATCTAAATCGTGAGTTACTATAAACCCTGATTTCCTTACTATCATCTTCGTTATGTGTAACGCTGAATCTACTATCAACATATCTGGGTTTTTTTCGGCTTCAAAAATCAGGAATGCTTTTTATTAATTCAATAACACACGGAAAAGAAAAACAAAACGAACTAGATTTGCCATTGCGAGCAAAAGAGGATGACACCCTTCCCAATTGCCACTAAACTGCCGCCATTTTGAAAATTTTAAACAGTCAATGCACATAAATGCATGACGACACACACATGGATGCTGAAATTAGCAGGGACATACTAGTACGTGAAGATAAATATTATTAAACATTAATTATTTTACCAATGTAGGCGTCCTCCATTTTTATTATCTTTGAATAACAGTAAACATGACACAGGCAAAATCGTTTTGTTCTAACTGTGCTATAATCTGGATAATGGACAGCTACGGTGTGCATTAACTACATCAGATATACTGCAAAGTGCAAATGTACTCTTATCTTTAGGGACAGATCCAGGATTTTTCAAGACATAGGGGCGTAATTCCATACACCAAAAGTGACGATTTTAGGATAAAAATTATATATTTTCCAATCAAAGGGGGGGGGGGGGGCGTACGCCCTCTTCCCCCCCCCCCCCCCCCCCCTTCTTGAATCTGCCACTGACCTGGCAATTACGGGATAGTTGATTGATTTGACAACTTTGTATTCACTTTTTCGTTTCAAATTATGAAATAGAAAGTGCTTCTCATTCCTTTGTACACGTATTTCATTTCGTGTTTTTAGAAAGAAATGAAAAAAGATAAAGTGAAAGAAGGAAAGAAACGATACATAGTGATTGTGTAGATATTTATTATTATAAGTGGAAACATTAATATAAAGATAAACGCTATAAACATCCTGAGGTTATTAGACCATTATTTCTCAAGATATAAGCCAGCTTCAATAAGAGTAACAAACTGGGTTAAAAGCTAAAGCGTGAGAAAATTTGATTTAGATATTTTACTCACTTTTTAAACAATTTAAATGTCAAGACATGTAACTTTTAACATTTGAGGTACATTTCTGTTGAACTATTATTCAAAATTAAGGCAACAGTAGTTACCGATGTTCAAATCTCATCAGTCGATTTAGAAGTCAAATCAAGATAACATACAGAAACTGAGGTAATCTAGTGAACTCCAAAAGCGCACGGGCTCGGCTAGCACGTAAAACATCCGGCTCAGCGTGTCGGTCTTGTTCAAAGCAGGGTTCAAAATTCGTAATATTAACATTATATCGTCGTGAATATGCATTTATTTGCAGCTGGACTTTAAGCAGCCATCCACCACCACCACCACCACCACTAAAAAGACGGAGATTGATGCATCGACAGGATAAACGTCTCTAGCTACGATGTAAGCATGCAGCACCCGCCATGCGAATCCACACACAGTCAAAATGTCACAATCGGGAATAGGAAAACTAGCCAAACAAGTTAATTGTTATTAAAACTATACGGCACATTGCTAGGACATTTGTTTAACCACATTTTAACCATGTTGCCCTTAAATGTAATTGAATATCCTGAATTCATTATGCTTTACCATACATTAAGGTCAAATTGCCGAAAGACCCCTTTCATACTATATCAGTTTTCCTTAACCATAATATCATGATGTATATTGATCATTTATCATCGGGCCTACGCCCTCGGGTGTATATGTAATGCGTAAAACAGTAAAGAGTATTTGTTTGTTGAAGGCCGTAAGGTGACTTATTGGTGTTAACTTCTGTAGTATATCACCGCATAATTTTACCACTGAAATGAATATGCAGAATTCAGGATGAAAACAAAAATATTTTAACATCCAACTGTGTCTTGGAAGTAGCTGTCACTTTGTGTCATTTGAAATGACTTTCTGGTGCAGGTAGATTTTTGACAAAATACAAAATAAATTATTCAATTTTTCGTATGATTTGAAGCAACATAATATTTTTCAGAAATTCTATAGCTTGCTAAATAAACCCGAAACTGTAATAGAAATCAATTTTATACAAATATAAAACTAAACGATCATTTTACTAAATATTTGTTATATCGACAAATTGATCCATATAAAAAGGTCAAAATCATTTGATCAACAGTCTGT